TTTTTTTTTTTTTTTTTTGCTAAAATTCAAAGCTAAAATTTGAGATTCATTCGAACTAACTTTGTAACATTTGCCTTCGTGGAACGTCCAGCGAACCGGACATGACCCGTTTTGCTCCGCAACCCCATCTGGTTCCTCTCGCTGTCCATGTTGTTGCAGTTGATTTTCTTGGGCTGCTGTGGAACCATCCCTGAAAATGAGCGGCCCCCGAGTTTTTGCCTCGGAATCCCGCCCAGTTAACGTCAACTGAGAGGAAGATTGATTTTGTCCGGGTCCCTCGGGGAACCCGAACCCACTCAGGGACTTGTTATTGCCGTAGGCGTGGTAAAGCGAGACGTTGACCGCTTTCTGCTGATCCTGTTCCTGAACGCGGTTCAGCAACCCGGGGTATTTTTCCTTATCCTGCGTCGTCGTCGGCAACCCGGGATATTCCCGTTTTTTATTACCTTCAACGAGGCCAGTGTCGTCGTCGACACGGTTTCCCACTTGCCGCGAATTCCCAACTCGGCCATCTTGAACTTTGCCCGAGTGCCCGTTGGAATTCCGGACAAGGTCTACTTCCGGTGGAGAATATTTTGCGAGGGCCACGTTCATTTCCGGACTCTCTCGAGAGCGATTTTTCTCTGGCGACGTGGAAACGAAGTTCGGCTGCTCTCCTCGGCGTGTCGTCGAAGCCTATATAATGCCGACACATTAAGAGACGACGAAACTAATTTAAAGTTTCGTGTTCTCGGTGACCTTCATTTTGTTTTATTTATTTTTTTTTTACAGGGGGTGAGTGTGAGCTATATAGAGATCCTTCAATGGGAAAAAGTCCGATGCACAGTACATTCTTGTCCAGGGATTTCCCGTCTCTCGATTCCCGCAAAAAAAAAAATAAAAGCTGAAATGCGAACATTTTCACTGGAATATAGGGCGGACCCGAAGAAAGAATAGCAAGAAAGCTGAAAATTCTTCTATAGTACGTGAAATATTATAGTACTGTACTTGAAGAAAAACATAATTTAAATCACAACTCACGTTATGAGCCATTGCCATTGTGATACTATTACTACTGTTTGATTAATCCCCTTTCAACATTACCGACAAAATCTGAAGGGGTTCTATGAGAAATTCCGATTTAAAAAAACCCCCAACAATAACTACCACATTATTACATCCGTCATTTATGGATGCATGTAATTTTCAGAACTATATTTATATTATCGTGTTTCCAATTCCTGCCGTAATAAAACTCACTCAAATAGTTAGATCTCTTCTGAGCTAAATACTGTAATAGCAGACATAATTTGGTAAAATCTGCGCAGAGAAATTGTTTTCAAATGCTTTCTGGCTGGGTTTCAATAAGTTGTTAGAAATTTCGTCTGTATTAATAATTATAGACACGAGGTTTTAAAACGTGAAACATTTGCGAAGAATCATTCATAAGGAATATTTTGTTCGGCGTGGAATTTTGAAAGGCCCAATATTAATAAATAGCAAAAAACATTCAAGATTTTCTCGCAGAATTTACAAGAATCTTTTCTGTGTGTGTATACTAAAGCGGATTTCTTCATTACGTCAAGTCCAAGTTTTTTTATTCAAGAAAAGACAACGAACAATCCATACATTTACCACTAAAATTTTTATTTGCAACGAGCTTTTGATAAAAAAATAAAATGATGATTAACGTTATGTACACTTTTTGAATGGATTCACGTAAGAGGGTTTCTGTTGCGTAAATGATTGAAAAGTAATTACTTCGATCATGCAGTAAAAGAGTGATTTTAAAACATGAGCAACGCAACGTTGAAGACTCGTAATAATTTTAAAAAATTGGCACCTATTTAGCAGAAAACTTCTCAGTACTGAATTTCCGTGAATTTTGTCGCGAAGTCCGCATTTTTTTCAGGCAATGGCGAATGTTTCTCACTTTCATCCATGAAACTTATCACAGCTTATCCTATATTCAAGGATTGGACGCGATTTTTATAATCATTTAGGCAAGATGGACGAGACAGGGACTTATTTTTACAAATTTGGTGCCGTATTTTCAAGAGCAGTGTGTCTTTGTTCCGTCGAATCAATGGTTTGTTTTTCACATGTTCGAGGGCACAATAAAATAAGCGACGATTTCTCGAACATCAATGGGTGACTCTTGAAATGTTTCCAACACAGGTTTTCACGGATTTTTTGTATCGATTCGAAGTCTTATCGACGCCTTTCGGCAATGCTGCAGTCGTACTAAACAAAATGCAGGGGAAAAAAAATTGCTGGATTGACGTCACACCTTGTTTCCAAGAGACCCTTTCAAGATCGACCGGAAGGATGCATTCGTGGCTTTTTCTGAGCTGCCGACTGCATCTTCACCAGCTTGAGAATCTTCAATCGAAAAATTCCGTGCTTGAATGAAGCCACTTGCAGTCGTTGTCGAGTGTTCAACACCCTCAGATCCCTCGAAAGCAACTGCTTGAAAGGCCCCAGAGGAAATGAAAAATGAGAGGCTGAGGAAGTGGTTCTCGGAAGAAGAAGAAAAAAAAACTCGATTCATTGATTTGTGTAGTTTTATTGGCTTACGTGGGATCTCACTGGGATGGATATTTGAAGAGGACGACGAAGTCACGAAAGAAGCGAGGATGATTTCTGCGACGATGACACAGGTCATGAGCAATGTGTCGTCGCATTTTAAATCCCGCATAGTTACGAATAATCTGGATAAATAATGTTTGTCAAAAGCAGACACGGGGAACACATAACAAATCCAGTTGAACCTCCTTGTAAGTCAAACTTCCTTAATTCGTCGAAAATACGATGATTTTTCTTCCTTTTCGGGTATTTCCACCGCCAGCATAGTGTGCTTGTTCTTTGCTTTTTGGGCTCATTCTCATACCAAAAGAGCAGATTTTTTTCTGCACATGATAATTTCTGCTTCTTGAATATAATGAGGGACAAATTTTAATTCCATTTTTGGGGATTTTTCCCAATTTTTGATCAACAGGCAAAGCAATTGAATATTTGTCCATTGAAGTCTATATGAGAAAACGTTATCCAGCATGCGGACGTTCCAACATTTAGGGATTTAAGGTCCAAACACATACTGCATTACGTCCGCATCTCGGGGCCCAACTCACATGTGATCTGAAAACTTAAAAAGTGGTCTACTGTATTCGTCGACGTGGTTAAAAATGAACAGCTCTTCATATCACCCAATAAATTCAACATCGATGTAAATTATTAGTTCAAGAGTTGAACGTAATCTACATTTAAATTTTCGTCGTAAATTGACGAGATCCAATAGGCTTCATCAGGTTCAGAAATTTACGAATTATTTCATTGCAGTACTTCATACTGGATACATTTTAGCCGGGTTGATGAAACATTTCCAGAATAAGCTCGCGAGGACCCGACACGACATAAATGTATTTCCTCCGTCAACGCTCGACAGACACATTTCATGATGAATATTCATGATCTTTCGTCACTAAAAACCCCCGCCTTGGGATGACACAATCCCTTCGTAGAAAGGGCATAATTAACCCAGTGCATCCACTTGTAAGATGTCCGCTTTAGTACCGTATATACACCGCCTTTAGCGTCTTGCCGAAAGGCAACGCTGCAATAAATTTCGCACTTCACTGAGCTTCTCGTAAAGTTTTTTTTTAAAGGAATTTCGCCGTCATTGGGGATTTGGTGTTTTATTCATTTATTTGACACGTTTTTGCACCATCTAGTCATCATGCCATCGTAAAACCGAGCGAGGCATGCAGAAAGCGACTGCAACAAATCAGCGGGATTGTACAACAAGCCAGACGGAGAGTATAGACAAACGTTCGCAGCCTTACGACGATAACACGGCTGCCAACGACCGGAAGTACTGTTCTTCCAGCAATACATCTTTCATTCTGTCGACAGCAACAACAACAACAGCGAAAGAAAAAGAAGATCTCGTGGGCTGCTAGAATATACCCCAATCAGAGCACATGAAGACATCTTTTCCTTTTCCCAGCAGCTGAAGGATAAAATCGGATATATTCATCGGAAAAATCCCCCAGCATGTTTTCGATCTTTTTATTCTCCGGAACGTCGCTCATCCATCAAACATCTTAGATGCAGAAAATCGGCGAACATTCACCTCGGTCTTATCAAGGTCAAGAAGCCGTACTTGGGAATGTGGGTGTAAGATGGAATGCTGTACAGAACATGAAATACGGATATACGAATAAGCATATAGGAAAAATTCTTGATTTAATGATCATCTGTGATGCTCCGATGGTCATTTTCGGGGATTTTTCACTAATGTGTTCATTTTCTTTACCTCAAGAAATCCAACTGTGAATTCCGGTAATTTGAGGGTATTTTTTCACAAATGAATTTCTTTTCTTTCCTCCAAAAAATCCAACAGAAAATTTAGATCATTTGAGGTGATTTTTTCACAAATCAATTTCTTTTCTTTCCTCCAAAGAAATCCAGCTGGAAATATAGGCCATTTGATGAGATTTTTTCACAAATCAATTTCTTCTACTTCCTCCAAGAAATCCAACTGGAAATTTAAAGCATTTGACAGGATTTTTTCACAAATAAATTTCTTTTCTTTCCTCCAAAAAATCCAACAGAAAATTTAGATCATTTGAGGTGATTTTTTCACGCATCAATTTCTTTGCTTTTCTCCAAGAAATCCAACTGGAAATTTAAAGCATTTGACAGGTTTTTTTTTTTACAAATAAATTTCCTTTCGATCGTACAAGAAATCCAACTGAAAATGTGGATCATTTGAGGGGCATTTTTTCACACAAATATTCGTTTTTCTTTTCTCCAAGAAATTCAACTGAAATTTTATTTTTGGTCCTCCTTGTTCAAACATATGAGTAAATTGTGATACCATACCAAGAACTTTCACGGGTCCTAAAAAATTTTGTTGTGACTATAAGCCTTGTAAAGAATTTAATAATTTTAAAGCCTATACGAGAGCTGAGTTTATCAGAGATTTTGTATTGTACATACACTATACCGTCATTATCTGAATTTTCTGTAGATCATTTCCAAAACATTTCACTACATCTTGAGCGTTTTTCCAGCATGTGAACATCGTCAAAGGTAGTTGCGGAACCCAATATCAGAGCTCGGACAGAAGAGAGGAGGGGAAGTTCAAATTGCTTCCCTATAACTCTTTGATCACTGATGAAAAATTGGACATTTCCAATTCTCTTTGATCTCAACAGTCCTCTGATATTGTTCTTTACTCATGTGCAAACGATCGATTTGCTTTTCGGCATTATTCCCTCAGAAGATCGCCCATGTCTTTCCGCTCATGGCTTTTCCGAAAATCGCTTCCTTCTCTTCTTGAATTTTTTCCTCGGATTTTACCCTCGATGAATTTTTTTTTTACGGTAGATTCTTTGCGTATTCTACTGTATTTGTAATCCTAACATTCTGAGGGGAAATTTGATCGAATAAATTGCGAGCTTTCATGACATTCAAAATCGAGTTTTGATTGAGTTGCTCTATATAATACTGTACTGCAGTTCGAGAGTCGAGAGTAGTTGAATCATGAGACGTTCAATTTTTTGGCTTAAAAACAGATTTCGAATTTGTGTCCTTCAAATAAGTTCTCGACTAAATTACGTAGGAGGTTTTAACAAACTTAACGAAAATGATATTTTATCTTCAACATATTTGAGATTTTAAAAAGTATAATACGAAAAGGATTTTTTTTTTTACAGAAAGTGGAACTTTTCTCCCTTTTTATTTCTCGTACTTTCTGTCTAGTACGTTTTCTTGCAAGGAATCTAAACTCAGACAAGGTTTACAATAAGCTTTATTGGATAATGAATTTTATTCTAAACAGATAAAATTCTGTAACTATGATTCCCTTTTTTAAATAAGTATAACTTACACATTCTTCAAAATTTCCCGATTGAAAAGAGGTAGACAAAATGTTTTTTCAGAAACTTGCTACTGTATAAAAATTTTCTTAATTCATCACAACGAATAAGTTCTTGGACAGATTTTCCAGTTTTTGCCTTGCAATTTTGCCCACGATTTTCCTTCTTTCCTGTGAAGGAATAAATTTTGAATTTTTGACTTCTGCTCGTGCCATTCGAAAATTGGTTTCAGTCTAAAGAAAATCATAAATAATATTACTTTAAAAAATCAGTTTGAGATAATTTTATAGTCGCTGGTGAAAACTTTTCTGTTCGTGTATGGCCGTAAAGCATTTTGTGATACGAAGAACTGAATATATTTCATTTCAGGAACGAAGACACGCTTTTTTGCATAATAATAATAATAATATTATTGCAATAAATGATTTTTGCGGGTCAACCATGGAAGTTTGTTGCAACAACATTATTTCATGTGTACAGTATATACCCTGCATTCGCAGCTGCTGTTGTAGCTTTTTACAAATACTTGTCTACATTTTTCAGAGGGATTTATCATTTTAAAATAGTAATAGAGAAAGGAGCAGTCTTGATAATTATTGCCAGCAGGTGCAAAAAAAACAATTGCTCGGAACACTTATTCTGATAATGTCTTCCGCACCTCCCCCTTTATTGAAAATCCGATCCCGAGATTCTTCCGTCCCAAGAAATACCCCCGGTGACTGGGGGTCCTCGAGTTTTGTTGAAATGCACCGGGCCTCTTTATTCCTTTCCGACCAGCAGACCGACGAGGAGTAATCGGAGCCGGAAGTGGAACAAAAGCGTTGCGCGTTGCTGATAAGACGGGACCCGGCCGAAATGCCAGCCGCGTGTCAGTTCCGGTTGCCCTGCTGCTGCTGCTGCTGCTCGAAGCCGCTGATCCCGCGGATGCTTTTCATCCCAATGCTCCTGTTCATGTGTGTGTGTGTGTATTACTGGACTGGTATATACAGTATCTGGCTAGCTGTTAGCTCAGTTGCCAAAGCTATAGGGGAACTGCTTCCTTATTCTCGTCGTATGCGCTTTCATCACCAGTAGTAGCAGCAGCAGCCATTCCTGCACCAGTAGGGTTTTCTTTTTGGGTGTTTGAGAGCAAAGAGGCCGTGGAACCAACTCATTGACTTTTCCTGAAGCCCCATGGGTGTTGTCACTTGTGGAAGCGCAACTTGGAATTGGAAATGCGCGGGAATAATGCTGCATGATGAAGCAATGCCAGCATCAGAGGCAAGGACCAGAGGCCGATTTTTTTTTGGCAATCCAGCAATTTGCTGAAAAAATATGAACCTGCTACAGTATAGATATAACCAGCTGAGGTGCAACCCTCCGCACCAATGTTTTTTTTCAAACAAATGTTCCATATATAATAATAACACTGATTGAAACACCATCAAAACGCCATCCACTGCATTGAAAATTATTGAAAACTCAAAGATGTTCCTAACAATTAATTTTGTTTTCAATAGCCTGCCAACAAGATGTAAGTTTATGTGAGAGGTCACCAATTTAAAAAACAAATGAAAACATGGCAAAATTGACTTATTCTTGGAAACATTAGACATAGATACAATTCAAATTGCAGGGCAAGGGCTGAATTGCAAATCAACCTCCCTGCAAATTGTATTGTCAAATTGCAGGATGTTCAAATTGTGGGAGCCCTTTTACAACTTAACCCATGAATGCTGTTCAAGTAATGAAATAGATGAAGAAAATTACTGTCGCCGGAATAAAAGAAAATTTCGAGCACTGAATGGAATTCTGGTCCTCTCATCCATTTGCAGTA